AACCCATTTCAATCAGGTTTTTGCCCCTATTACTATGCTGAAATTGTTCTTGTCAAGGTCTCCCAGTGTCCTCCATGTTGCCCAATGCAGTGGTCAATTCTCAGCCATCGGTTTAAGCTCATTAGCAGCTCCCCCCGCCCAGTACTAGGACTTTGTGCTGGCAGCAAGCACTCTATCACACAGTCATTTCTGAACCTTTTTAAAATTTTATTTTGAGACATGGTTTCACTAAGTTGCCAAGGCTGGCCTAGAACATGGTTCTCCTGTCTCATCCTTCCCAGTAGCTGGGATTATAGGCAAGTGCCACTATACCCAGCTCATCAGCAGCATTTGATTTATTTCCTTGCTTCTTGGAATAATCTCTTCTTTTGCTTTCCACAATTTGCTGGGTATTCTCTCCCTCATTGGCCATGCTTTGCAAGTCTCCTTTCCTGGATTGTCTTCCCCTCTCAGCCCTCTTAATAATGGAGGGCCTCAGGACTAAGTCTTTGAAACAGTTTTTATATTTTCTGACTTTGGTGATTTTATTGCTCTCCTAGATTTAAACTCAATTCATGCTGAAGACTCCCAAGTTTAGAGTCCAAGGATGATCTCTCTCTTTATCTTTGGACTTAAATGTCCAGTGCCCCCTGGACATTCTTTTAAAAATATTTTTTTAGTTGTTGATGGACCTTTATTTTACTCATTTATTTATATGTGTTGCTGAGACTCGAACCTAGTGCCTCACATACACTAGGCAAATGTTATACCACTGAGCCTCAACCCCAACCCCCACTGGACATTTTAACTTCAATATTGACTGTATATTTCAAACTTAACATGTCCAAAATAACTTTTGATATAGCCCACAAAAACCTGCTGCTCCCCTAATCTTCCCCATCTTTTTTTTTTTTTTTTTTGAGGTGGGGTCTCACTGTGCTGCCCAGACTGGTCTCAAACTCCTGGGCTCTAGAGATTCCCCTGCTTTAGCCTCCCAAGTAGCTGTGACTATTCCCCCATCATTATTAAACACAGCTTTTCCTTTTAATTGCTCAGGCTAAAACTATCAGTGTCAACCTTATTGGTGTCTCTCAATCCTGACAGTCACTCCATTAGTAAATCCTGTTGGGCCTACCTTCAAAATAACTAGAGCATAACCACTTCTTACCACCTTCATGATTAGATTATGTTTATCTAGCTGGGATTGTTGTAATAGGCTCTGTGTGTGGGGGTGGGGGGGTATTTAAGCCAGGATTGCTCTACCACTGAGCTATACCTCCAGCCCATTTTTATTTTGAGACAGGATCTCCCTAAATTACTGAGGCTGTCCTTGAATTTGAGATCCTCCTGCCGGAGCCTCCTAAGTAGCTGGGATTACAGGAAAGCACCACCATGCTCAGCCATATTATACTCTTATATAATTGTGTTGGTTGTTAGTCTCCTGACACTGTAAGATCCATGAGGGCATGATTTTTTTCTGTTTTGTTTACTGCTTTACTCCTTGCTCCTGGAATGGTACCTAGCACAGAGGGAAGTGTAATAAAAAAGGAAAAGAATTAGCCCATTTTATATAAAGTCCTTTTCATATACCATTTAGTTCTTATAAACAAGAGACATAGCCGGGCATAGTGGCACATGCCTGTAATCCCAGCGATACAGGAGGCTGAGGCTGGAGGATTGCAAGTTCAAGACCAACCTCAGCAATTTAGTTAGGCCCTAAGCAACTTAGACCCTGTCTCAAAATAAAAAGTGAAAAAGGGCTGGGGATGTGGCTCAGTGGTAATGCACCTCTGGTTTCAATCCCCGGTACAAAAAGAAAGAGAAAGAGACAGACAGACAGATACTACCATCTTCCCCACTATAAATATGGCAGTACTGAGGCTAGAGGAGTTTGAGAAATCAGTCATAGACCCAGTGAAGCAGCAGGAATGGAACTTGAACCCATGTCTACAAATGCCATGTTGGAGGTCAGTACTTGTTAGCAAAGGCCTAGGCAGAAGGGCTCCTTTCAGCTTTGATTTTGCGTATGAACATTTCCCTAGAGAATGAGCAGCACTTCTGCATGGACTTGGTATAAGCAATTTTCCATTTCTGAATTACAGCATCCCAAGAAAACTCCAGCATGGCAGAGAGAGCACACCACCTGCAGATGCCCAGGAGAGCCTGGGACTTATTTTTAGCCAGGATAGGAGAATATCTTCTGGAAGAGTTGGCAGCTGGCTGGCTGCTGATACAGCTGTGTTTATGTAAGCTGGTGGCAGAGGGTTACAAAGAAGCAAGAGGAGCTTAACCCACCTCCACACTAGTCCAGTGCTTGTTGGGAAGCTGTGGGTCAGGAGTCGTTGGTGAGGAGAGAGGGTTGTGCGGTAAATTGGAGACTGCAGAGAGCATGGGGGTGACTGGCCCCCACCCCCGTCCCCAAGTCAGGGCATTTGTCAAAGCATTCCTTTGAAAGATCTGTCCACTAATTCTGGTCTCTTCCCATTTATTATCCAGGAGTAAATAAAAGAACAGACACTTGGGCTGGGGATGTGGCTCAAGTGGTAGCGCGCTCGCCTGGCTTGCTTGCCGCCCGGGTTCGATCCTCAGCACCACATACCAACAAAGATGCTGTGTCCGCAGAGAACTGAAAAATAAATGTTAAAAATTCTCTCTCTCTCTCACTCTCTCTCTCCTCTCTCACTCTCTCTTAAAAAAAAAAAAAAGACACTCTTTCAAATGGTACAGCTGTAAAGCAGAGCAGTTCACCTGATGCTGACCACTCTTCTCAGGTGTGCCAGAAGTTCCACAGAAGTTGTCAAATATCCAGTGCCTGCTTCGTCCTGGAAGCAGCAGAATAAGGTTTTTAAAAGAGTTATCTGAGGGTACTCTCAAGGAGAATTCATGTAGACCTTTTAAAGTCAGAGTTGTTTTTAGGTTTAGTTATAAAAATGTTCAAGTGAAAAACAAAACTGGAGTAAAAGCTGTAATGACCCCTCATGTTCCCATCACCCAGCTTCAACAATGATCAACTCAGCCACTCTGATTTCATCTGTTCTCCTAGCCACTCTGGAATTAATTTGGATAAATCCGAAATAGCACATTATTTATTCTGAAAATATTCCAGTGTGTACCTCTAGAACATAGGAAATGTCAACAACAAAAAAAAATTTACACTTGAAAAATGAACTATTTGCTGGGGCTGGGGATGTGGCTCAAGCGGTAGCGTGCTCGCCTGGCATGCGTGCGGCCCGGGTTCGATCCTCAGCACCACATACCAACAAAGATGTTGTGTCTGCCGAGAACTAAAAAAATAAATATTAAAACCT